GGAGGTGGGCTGCAGCTGGTTATGAAGTCACGCCCTGTGCTGCACGCGTCGAATGGAGGAGAAGGGGGAACACCTTGCTTGAGAAGCGCCTGCCACAAAGAGGCCTGGGGCCCTTGCAGATCTCGTCGTCTACAGTCAACGCACAAAGTGGAACGTATATGGGCAAGCGCCAATCGACTGCGGCTGATCATCTGTGGCAAGACGAAGGATTTGGGCCCATAGGCGCAATTTTTCCAAAACTCAGTATGCAGTTTGAGTTTGGGTTGCGCCGAATCAGCTCCAGGACACGCCGTCTGGACATTGGACATCTTCTAATCCAGCGCCGCAGGGGTGTGCCCCGTGACAGGGTTGCATCTCTACAACCTCCATGCAGCTAGCCTTGCATTGACCCAAGTGGCCGAAGTAAGCAAGTTCAATTTACTCTGAATGGCTTAGGTGCTCGCCGGTCTGGGTGGACGGTGCTTCGCGTGGCTGGGTTCACAAACGCCGCACTGTCGCATATATCCAGCTAGTCTGTATGTTCCAGTCCAGTGTTATGTTAAAGGTTTTAAGCGTAGAGACAGGCAAGGGCTGAGACTTGGTGCCCTTACTAGGAGTGCAAAGTTATACTACTCACCAGTGACTTAGGATTTGTCGGTGGCATGCGAAAACTGAATACCCTATCTTTTGAAGACCAATGTCTTTTTGACCAGCTTTTGGTCCACAACTCCCATCTCATGAAGCCTAGCGTGCAAGGCAAAGCAGGAACGCTTTTGAGGTATTTTTTTGAGCTAAAACGGTGCGCCCAGGGTGTGTGTGGCCGGATGCCAACCAGTCCATGTCCTAGCATGTCCTTGGATGTCTGTGCATGGTTAAATTATGGTTGTTTAGGCGTGTGGCCGCACGACATGAGATTATGGCAGGGGTTCTTCCTAACTCATCTTGTGCAAACATGTGTTTTTTTCAGAAATGGTGTTTCTCTGTGGCAAATTGTGCACTTGTTCTTTTTTTGTGGGGTTAGCCGTATCAAACCTGGTGTCTTTGGAGATGTGCACGCAGCATGAGTTGGGACTTGTTGGCATTCTGCGGTATGTTACTCCTGTCTCATCATGGAACATCTGACTGTTCTGAAATGGCGGGGTTCCATTTAGCCTCGTGAGTTAGTATTCTTGCTGGACAACTGTTAACACCTTGGATACTCAAAGTCCTAACTCACCAGCAGGTAGTATTTACAAAGAACGGGGGGGCGCTAACTTTGCTTGTGTTTGTGCTTGCTCCTTTGTGTAACTGGGGTCATTCATGTCAAACATGCGCCCCGCAGGCGGTACAGCGGACAAGCAAAGTAAAAGTTTGGCTGTGAACTTGCAGGCGCCTGAGATTGTGGTGTCCAGGACTGTAGATGAATTGTGCAAACACCATGTGTCAGCGCCAGACCGGCTCAGATGACTAAGGCTCCCGGAGGTTACCTGCTGTGAAGGTGCGCCGAGCCACGCTTTCAGCAAAGAGTGGAGGTCCTTTTGTGTACAAATATTTACACATATCATATACCGATAATTGTTGATAATTTCCTGAAAGCATGAACGGTGTTCACAACCCTTTTTCCCTCCCTTTGTCTTCCACAACCGCTGCCAGGTTGCCTTCTTTGTTTTCAGCCTTCACGGTTGTTCTGCCTTCACTTTTCCTGCCTTTGTTATCTCAAACCTTTACTTTGTCCAGCTGCTGTGCCATGACAGAGGGAGGTTCAACCTCAACTTTGATTTTGTGATGTTCTATTTTGTACCAATTTGATCTTTGATCAAGGACATTCTGAGGCATGCATAGCCCTGTCCTTGACTTGAGGACTGTTTGCATTTACTAACCTTGCTGTTTTGCATCATTCACAGTGTTTCGCTACTAGGTTCCTTGTGGAACCGATTGAACACATGATTCCAAGATTGGACGTGAAAACCCAATCCAATCCGGAGGGACATTTATGTGGCTGTAAGAGCAATGGGGGATTGTTGGCCGCCGGCAATAATACGACTTGGGGCATTTGGAATGGACGTGGAGAATGGGTTGGTGGCTCCTGACTTGGTGGTGTCCCGGCCCAAACACAACTCCACGACTCTGTTTTGCTCGCTCGCCGCTTGCAGTCTTGAACTTCATGACCTCTTGGTGTAAAAACCGTTTAGTGATCCGCTCCTGTGACGACCCTGTGCATGATGCCGTGTGGTTTACTCGAAAACTCAAGTTTTTGTGCGTTGCCTTGCTTTGATGTATGATGACAAGAAGCTGTTCATGTGCATGGTGGCGCATGATTTTATTGAAGTCAACTCTCTGCGAGTCTGAAACTTTTCTCGTAAGCTTCCTTTGATTTCTTTTGGAAGGAACCAGATCGTAGTATAGTATCCTTGTCGTGGCAGGCGTGTCACTGGTATTTGCACAGCTGCCGCGGCTGCTCTGAAACGGTGCTTCCTGGATGTGGTTGACACCAATCAACCTACGTATGTGCACAATGTAGCATGCGCGATCCCTTTCGCTTAAAAAAATCAAGTGTGTGTTGTTTCATGCATCCCGATTGGTGCGGGCAAGCTGGGTACTGCAGGGCCAGATTCCATCGTTTTGAGATTTGAGCCTAGTGACAAGTGAGGCTCAAGTTGTTGTTTCCGGTCCTGTCAAGCCAGTTTGGAAACCATGTCAACAGCATGTTACCGCAAGCAGTCATTTGAACCTTGGTATGGGCGTAGACCCAGCCAAATCAGCCTTTGAACTGCACTTTGGTACTGAAGTTGGATCAACAGTGGAATGGATTGAACTGGCGCGAGGGGTTTGTTGCGCCCCCACAGGATCCAGACCTCAGTGCCATTTGCATAGGTGTCCAAATGTTTGTCCGTCCTCCTTTAAAGTGTGAAGTAGTATTTGATAGCCTGGCCATAAACTGCTCATTTTTCACAGACCACCTCAGCAAAACAGTCTGTAGGTATTGGCTACGACTTAATCTAGCAAAAACCACACGAACATAGGAGTTTGTCAACCTGAGGATGACAGGATGGCGAACATGTAGTTTTCTTGAAAGAGAGAGTTCTGGCCAGGGTAATAATCTATCCAAGTTCAAGAACTTTTTATTGAATCCCCACAGAGCAGACTGCAGAGCAGCCACAGAGGATGATTTTCCGGAGCTGTGGAGCAGGTGCCAAACCACAAATTTGCATGTGTTTGAAGACATATATACAACTGTTTGTTGATCTGGCACCCTTTTGCCCTGCAGATGCAATCTATATATACAGGCCGCCTGAAATTGAGAAAGTCTCGTTCTACTGCTACGCACACAGGGTTGAAATATGTTGAAGACTTCAGTGACAAAGGAGATGCGTGCCTATTTCCCTCGTTTATTCCAGAACTTGATTTTCTCTCGTTTTGCCACCACTACTTGCATTATGACAAGAGTGTGGCATGAGTAATTTGACATTGAAAAATTTGGTTGTGGAAATCTTGCACATTGTCCGCAGGCAATCGTGACCAGAATTAACATTCGTTCAACCATGGGAAGGCCAAACTCAACATGTAACGTTCCATTGTTTCGAAGTTCAGCAAATCCCATGGCCTTTCCACTCTTTTCTATTTATCTCTTGGGCTGTGGTTTGTTTGGTGGCACTCTAAAGGGAATTGACTTTGAATGTTTACACCTACCCTATCATTCAGACAGCTTGTGGTCACTGCCGGCATTGTTCATTTTGTTTTTTCGCCTGGCATGCGGCATGTGGCCATCACAACGCCTGTGGATTTTCCGATATCTTACAATTCGGAATATCTGCAGCTTGGTCACGGTGCCTCAGTGCTTTTGAAGTATGGCAGGATACTGTGGAGGAGCTTGTCAATGTCATCAATCCGCTTTCAACAGTGATGGCCTCCAACCTACTAGCGGTGGCCTCCCACCTTTTAAGAGTTGAAACCACAATGGTCATAAAAGGACGTGATGAGAAAGTTGAGGGTTAAGAGAGCTCAGATGAGAACCACAAGGACTCTGCATGCAGACGGGTGATGAGTGTGATGAGTGTGATGAGTGTACATGCAAAAAACGTATAGCCAGGGCAGGGTGCTCATAGGTCATTGGCTGGCTTCATGCTAACCTGCTAACCCAAGGTAAGGGAACTTGGGGTTGAAAAAGACATGGGCAAGGCCTTTTTGGGCTCGCTGTTCATATTCAAGAGTGCTGCGCAGTCTTTAAAACCCCATTGGCAGGTCTCCACCTGGTATGCACTGGGTTGCTTCGGGATTGCATTTCCATTCGTGAATGGAATCTGGGGTTTCAAGACCGATCTAAATATGGGTGTTCCACGTGGTTGGGTGTGTGTGTGTGTGTGGCGGCTAGTAGTGGAAAGAATCACACGTTACAGCACATGATATAAGCCCCCATAGACCATCTCACGCATCCACCACATCGCCACATTGCACTTCTGCACGCGCCGCATCAGCACATCACCGCGCACCACAACAGAACACTTCCTAAAGTCTTACCTCTTCTGAAGCTTCCGTCTAGGTCATTTGGTGCAATCAATGCAATCGATTCTATTGCGAAGCAATGAAATAACCATGATTTGTGCATTGACCTAGTCTCTTTTTGACCCCCCCGGAATTAGCAAGGAACTCGGCGGTCCGTGCTGCCAAATTCCAATCTCTTGTTCTCTGAGTTCCTACGAAGCCTACGAAGCTGACAGGTTGGAGTCAAAACCCACACATTAAACTATGCGTTGGTTTCTCAAAATAAGGGATTGCCAACTCCTAGTCACTTGTTTCAATGTCTTTCCCACCAAGTCAGCATGGCTTGGTTGTTATTGCAGCACACAAGTAGGGATAACACAGAGCTCCACACTGACTGCCCAGATCTCATAGAGATTGTCTGGAGACTGGTCTCAAGAAAAGCTTGAGCGACGTTCAGCACATTCGTTGGGCGCCACCGTTTGGTCAAAAGTGCCTGTGAGAGCCGAGCAAGAGCTGTGAGAGTTGCAGAGCCGCAAGCCGCGCTGAGAATTCACCCCAAGGCTTGCAGCCTCCAACAATTTTCCGTGGCTCATCAGCAACGTGACCGACAAGGCACTTCTTCACTGCGGGGAGAACGGCTGGGTTGTCAGGTCGAGGGTAAAGACTCTGGAAGTCTCAGGGAGGGAATGCAAAACAATTTGAATATCTCGGAGTGGGTGAAGCACTTTTGGGAGACATTCTTGGGACATTCTTGGAGAGATACTCTTGTACAGACACCCTTGTAAAGACATTCTTTGTTGGACACTCTTGAAAGACACTCTTGTAAAGAAACTCTTGCAAAGACACTCTTGCAGGACATTCTTGGAGAGACACTCTTGTAGCCACACTCTTGTACAGACACTCTTGTGAAGAAAGTCTTATGAGACACTCCCGTGGAGACATTCTGGTCGGGACACCTTTGCTAGAGACTCTTGAAAAGACACTCTTGTACAGACGCCGAGCGTACACTTGCAGGCCAATTTTTTGGGACACTTGCTTGAAAATAGCCACAATTGATCACAGTTGAAGGGCTTTTTTTTTTTCACCGCTAGTACTTGTACACATGACCCAATACCGCATGCCTGTGGCTCAAGAAAAAAAGGTGCACCATCTTGGCTGTGACCTGTTTGAAAGAGGTTATCAGCTGTAGGACTCTTTCTTCTTGCCCCTTGTTGCTTGTTCGTTCCACGTGTGCCTTCGCCATGGCAGGCTTCGGGACCCCGGCAACTATAGACATTTCGTCTGACCGGGATCAGATGTCCACACGTGAGGAAACGCCAGAGGTTGCAAGCCCCACTGCACTTGTCCCTATGGATTCTGGGTACATGGACACGCCATTGTGGCCTGACATTCCCCTGTAGAATACCTACCTCCTTGGACAAAGCCAACTCACATAAATTGAGACATTTTCTGCTTCAAACTCATGCTCGCAAAGATTTACTCATAACCTCAAAAATTTACCCATAACCTAAATTGGATTTACTGAGCTGGATTTACTATTACATTTACGTAAATCTTTACGTACATTTTCGTTAGTAAAGGAAAGCATATACGTACATTTTTCCCCAAACAGCTTCCTGTTGGGGTTCTATCTTAGAAAGAAAAGAGCTGGCCACACTCACTGGCCGCGCCCCTGAACTCTGTGGCTGGGGTGTGTGGCTGGGCCTTGTCCTCCTCTTGTCCTCCTGTTGGCCGCGCCCCTGAACTGTGTCAACTCCGTGGCTGGGCTCTGTGGCTGGGCCTTGTCCTCCTCTTGGCCGCGCCC